AATCCCTATCTCTTCCAGGAATCCTTATCTCTCGACGACTCATGTTTGTAGTAACAATCCTTATCTTATCTCTTCCGGGAATCCCGGAAATCCCCCACTTCCAGGAATTATTGTTATATGATACCCCCCACCACTCCTAAATTACCTCCTCTCCTCCAAAACGATGACGTCATTACCCCCTCCACTGTTATCTGATACCCCTCTTCCCCTCTTCACCCGCACCCCCCTCATTGCCCCATGGGTTAGAACCGGCATAGCTATACTACTGTTATATATTAACTAAATTATCTTACATTTTAACACAAGTATTTTGTATCACATTTACATTCTGTGAAACAAATGTTTTATTTCGAATATTCAAACTAAACTATTTTTTGTTGTAACATGTCTTCGGTTTGACTGCCCCATTGATATAAAGCCATGGATAGCTGATATGAAATATCTTTGGCTTCATATCACGGTTTTGTTAAAATTTTTACAAAATATGCGAAAAAAAACAATGATATCAAATTAAAGGCATGTTAAACATAAAATAATATAGTTAAAATATTCGAAATGACACTTATTATGTTTCACATAACGTAACTGTGATATCAAACGCAAGACTTATGTAATTAGTTATTTTCTAATATTACTAATAAAACATCTGTTTCACATGACTTAAATGCTATATAAAACACAAGACGTGTTATAATGTAAAATAGTTTACTTAATATGTAATTAAGTTAACATAAAAATGTACAAAAATGTACAAAATTAATTATGTGACAAAATTTAAATTATTTTTAAATTATTTTTCTACATTTTGAATGTAACATTTATATTAACTTAATAACATATTAACTAAATTATTTTACATTATAAGTTTTGCGACTGGATTGATATCGACGTCGATGAGATGTTCTTCGTTCATTAATACTAATAAAATTCTATTGCGCATTAATTCTAACTGCGCATGGCAGTTTATTTGTTAATAAAATATTAACAAGATTAAAGGATATAATAATTTTCTTTTTCATACTTTGCAGAAGTTCTTTTTAATACTCTTCGAGTTATTTTATATCTTAATCTGACATATTTCAATATAAAATTTAAATTAAAATATCTGAAAATATTAAGTTATGGATAATCTTACCGTAATAGTTTTATGATTAGAATAATGAGAAGTAGTAAAGAAAACGCATAATTGTTAAAAAAAGTACATTGTAAATTACATACTTTTTTCTTCAAAATAACAATGGGTTTTTTTACACGTATTGATTCGTTTTATTATTCTGCGCATAAAAATATTACGGTAAGATTATCGATAACTAAATATTTTAAAAAATTTTAGATTTTACATCAAAATATGTCATATCTCTCTCTCTCTTTTTCATGTTTGCGAAATTTTCGTAGTGCAACTTGGGGAAGTCGAATTCATTGACTCCTGGCACCTGGTGCAAGAAATGTACGTAGCGCAACTCGGGGTACTCGAGTTCGTCAACTCTTGGGACCTGATGCGAGGAATTCCCGTAGCGCAACTCCCGAAAATCGAATTCGTCGACCCTTGGTACCTGGTGCAAAAAATTCCCGTAGCGCAACTCGCGAAAGTAAATTCGTCGACTCTTGACACCTGGTGCGAGGAATTCCCGTAGCGCAACTCGGGGAAGTTGAATTCGTCGACCCTTTGCACCTAGTGCGAAAAATTTCCGTAGCGCAACTTGCGAAAGTCGAATTCGTCGACCCTTGACACCTGGTGCGAGGAATTCCCGTAGCGCAACTCGGGGAAGTCGAAATCGTTGACTCTTGGCACCTGGTGCGAGAAATTCCCGTAAATTTTAATGATA